ATGTTAAATATGTGTAAATAGCAAATAAACTTTTTTTCAAAGAAAAACCTTACACTTTCTGTTGATAATTCAGCTCATGCCCACCAATACTCCCAAACTCTGTGGAAAAATTGTAAGAAAGTTATCATGCGCGTATGGAAAACTAAATTCAATTTAAAAATGTAGCAAGTATATTTTGGACTGTCAGAGTTTATTATAGAGTAAATTATTGAATTGAAATTCATTAATAAATTGTTAAATGCTCACCTTTTAGAGGTCAGTCAATACACTGGTCCAGCACTACCAATCCATGAGAGGGCCAATGAGGGAACTCCTGACTCTAGGTTGTAATTGGGTTGCCTGTAATTAACCCATTGTGGGCCCCTAGTAGTACTGCCATTGGGCCACTGTGGGATTTAAATGGGTTTGCCGAAGCCCACATTGCCCAGGGAAATGTAGCATGTTTGCTGGGAATGTCTTTCAGAGTTATTATAGTGACAAAAAACAAGTAATAGCTGTAAATGCTATGATCATATACTGTATGCTCAAAACTGCAGTAGAATATCAACCATGCTTAACTAATTGAATGTTTATGCCATTCTAACATATAATATCATTAACAGTCTTATTCATTATGCCCCCTGTACCATGACTTAAAACTGACTGGACAATATTACTATCAACTCTTCCATGGTAGAAATGATGAAAATTCATAGTACATGGAAATATTTACAGTTACTATAAAAACTTAAACTCACAGTTTAACTGTGAAATATCCATAGTTAAACTGCAAAAGTCATGTCTGAGATAACTGTAAAAAAACTGTCAAAACTGAACTTCACAGTTCAACTATATCATGTTCATAAATGAACTCTAAACTTCACTGTCAGAATTATTAAACACCAGAAGAGGTGACAATGAACTTCAAAGTAAAACAAGAGTTCATAGTTCTATGAAATGTCAAACTATAAACTTTATAGTAGAACTATGAATAATTACGGTTTGTCTGTAAAGCTCACAGTTTTGCACAGTTTGAACTTTTACAGTGCATTTTTTCTTAAAACAAGAGTTCACGGTTCTCCTATGAAATGTTCATGGTCAAACTGTAAATTTTACAGTGGAACTATGAATATTTAAGGTTTAACTGTAAACTTCACAGTTTTACAGTAAACTTGCATTTTTCCTGGGTACCTCTGGCTGTCTGTACACTACAGGCCTCTTCCCTACCAGTGGCTGACAGCTTTCGGAATATGGAGATGTGCTGCACCTAGGGAAATGTTGTTGACCAGTAAAGGTTGTTGTTGCTGTGTGAGTAGCTCTATAACTATGCTGCACTGCAGGAGCACATGGAAACAGTGAATCGACTGTAAAACTGGATAGGTGTATTTACAATAGGAGACCTTATTTAAACATTGCACTTGTATTTGACAGTTATAGAAATAGTTTTTATAATATAAAACTCCAACACTGTAGGGAGAAGCAGGTATCTGCATAAGCATGTAAATACATGCATTATTGCTATCGTTGTCATAGAGGATTAAAGAATGAAGAAGAATTAAAGAAAGGTTAATGTATGGTTTATTGGCATCCGCAGCCAAATTTCTTTTCCCTGCGTTGGGTGTTACCGCACATTGTTCCAGACTAACCGTGACGGTTTGAGGGAAAAATAAGTGAACTGAGTTGACCTTAATGACACTGGGCTTGAGACTGTATAATTCAGCGGCTTTTGACCTTAAAGTTTGACTTAGGTGTGAGATGCAAAACACCCTCTTGAGGTGCTGGAGGACCAGGGAGCGAGTCAACAACCGTGCAATACGCTGAAGACACAGAAAGTAGATTGCCTTTATGCATTATTAGTTTTTTATATTGGTTTTGGTTAAATCATTCTGTATGGTAGAAATTATATCTGTATAATTTTACTTTAATTTTGTGTTATTTGCAGGTGGGACAGGACTTCGGTGGGTCACACTCCGAACTCAAACCCGTAGCTTTCGCTCCAGCCTCAGCCGTGTCTGTGTAGAGCTTGCGTGACCTCTCTGTTTAAATTAGGCTGCCCCAGGGTCTCCTCCCATAGCGAACGTGACGTTCAAAGTGGCTGGTATCCTGTACACCCTAACCCCGCATTGGAAAAACAGTCATGATAATCGGAGGGATGTTGTGCATATTTAAGCCCATTGTGTGAAGTTTAAATCTGGCCATTAAGAACATATGAACAGGAAGATTAACCAAATCATCTTGAGAAATATTTAGAAAGCAATTGAGCCACGTCCTCACTGCTACGTTTTTGCGTTTTCGCCTTTTCAGCCCCCAAAAACCAAGGCTCTCATAAACGCTCTCACAACTGAATACTTCTGAAAACTCAGCATTGCAGTGGTGATGAAAGAGATCACACTAGTTTTACCCTCTCATTGTCTGATTGGTCACCTGGTCACGAAAGTAAACAGTATTACAAACTGTACAAATAGTATTACAGAGCGGCTATGGAGGAGCTAGTACTGTATATATGGCGATTTCCCAGACCTTTGTGTAGGCAAACAACGTGTCGCATTAACACAGAAGAAACCAATTTACACATCATTATGTCAGTGCACACATGCCCAATGTAGGCTAATAGCTATGCCATATTCGCAGGGTTGCCAACTCTCACGCATCGAGCGTGACAATCACACTTTCAGACTCTCATACTCGCGCAAGAAATCTTAAGGCAAATATATATTATTCCATTATAAATTTAAAATTAGCAAAAGCGTTGGGGTAGTCTGCAAACATTGCATTTACAAGGTAATAAAACTGTTACATACATGTAAATGTGTGCGCATGTGTGTGCAGACTTGTGTCGAATTGAAAATCTCACGCCAGGCAGCTGACCAAAGTTGGCAACCCTTTTCGCTGGTTTCGGTGTGTATGGGAAGACTGTAGCTCCGGCAGGACGGCTTCTGCATAGCGGAAGCTATTTGGCATGTCCCGGCCTGCCCCCCCAGCAGTTGTGAACAGCCCCTGTCTGTGTTTAGTGTAAACACTTGTTGTGTTCCCAGTTCTCACAAGTGCCCTAGCCTGTGCTGTATGTGATATCCTGACATGTCTCTAGCTGTTGAGTATTCACCCACCGTGTGTGTGCCTTACCGTCCATCATGAAACCTCCCCACATTTCATTACCTTATGGTTGAGTGGATGTTTGGTGCCTATATTAATTCTTTTAAGGTGCTGTTTTCCCGGTAAATGCGCCTCCTCATCTTTTGTTGCCACCATGACGCCTTGGTCTGTTAGAAGCGGGAACGTAGCTGAGTTACATTTACGTAGTAGCCTTTTTGTCTCCAGAAGCTTGTGTATTCAGAGATGCCTTTCTGCATACCGATATTGTACTGAGTTGTTATTATTGCACTTACGGAATTTCTGTTAGAGTTAACGAGTTTGGCAATTTTCCTTTGACCTTTCTCATTGACAAGGTGCTTTTTGGCAACATAATTCACTCTGTAAACTCTGAACACTGTAGTGTGCGAAAATCCTGTTTCTGAGATGCTGGAACCCCTGTATCTGGCACCAAGAGTCAAACCACATTTAAAATCACTTGGTAAGGGGATTGTGATATAAAGCGATGTATTGAGTTAGCTAGGTTTCTGGAGGCTTACTTCAGAGTTTTGGGAACTAAGAATCACAGTTCACTTTTAAACAAGGTGTATTGGTAGCAATTGTCCCATAAAATGTAACGGGAGTACTACTTACACTAGTAATAATACTACTACTACTACTTTCACCTTTCTAGGGAATTTTAGGGAATGAATTAAAGTCAAGTAAAAGAGGATATACGTTTTACTGACTCATGTATTTGGGGAATGCAGTGAAATTCTTGTGAGGGGGGCATGGGGAGGATGAAAAAAGTGAAATACAGTGTGTAATGTAAGTATAGTGTATATGTGATAATAATAAGTTATGTAGTATTGGGAATGTCTCTGAAGTGGGTGGGGATGGGTTTTACAGAAGGCAGGATTATGATGAAGGTGTGAACCCATCATCACATAAAAAGCCTGAACAGAGGTTCTGAATAGATTTCATACTAAATAATAATAATAATAATAATAATAATAATAATATGAATGTACAGTATGTATGGCATTCGTAATAGCTTTTCTGAATAGCTCAATAATAATAATAATAATAATAATAATAATAATAATAATAATAATAATAATAATATAAATGTGTGGATGGCATAAATGGCATTTCATGTTTTCTGTCCAGAAAGGCATGTTCACTGTTGCTGAGATCATGTCCATCCATCTTGTTGCTAGTTTAGTCTCGTCAGCTTCTCCATGCATTATAACATTCTATAATCCACTGGATCTAATTATATCAAAAATATATGGTAATTTGTGCTTCAAGTGAAAATTCATTTTTGCTTTGATCACGTATACCTGATTTAAAATTATACACACCTACTATTATACAACTTTGGAAAAAATTAAGAGACCACTGCAAATTTTTTTGTTTCACTATTTCTCAATTTATAGGTATGCACTTGTGTAAAATATACATTTTTAAAACTCCAACTTGGCTCTTCTTGATGAAGGGCTTCTTCCTGGCCTTATGAGACTTCAGTCCTGCTTCTAGGAGCCTGGTATAATCTTGTCCTAGCAGTGCACCTCACATCTGCACTTAATGTCTCCATTCTTTTTGAAGGTCACATGATGTCATCCTCCAATTCATGAGGCACTGTTGGATAAGTTGACAGCCATCTCTGCAATTAGAAAATCACTTCTGCCCTTTACCTGGCTGGTTTCTGGTCATTCCCAGTGTCTCCTGCTTCACTTTGTTCTTGTGTACTGCTGTCTTAGAAACTTTGAGCCTGGAAGCATCCTGCCGCTCAGTATATTCACAGACGCACACCCATAAATTGAGAAATGAAAAATTGTGCTGCGGTCTCTTAATTTCTTCCGCGGCTGTATATGTGCATCTCTGTGTGTGCTGTAAGTGCCCCCCCCTCTCCCCCCACCCGACCATGACCGTGTCTCTGTGACTGGCAGCGGAGACGGAGCACGCTCCGAGGCTGCCGGCCCTCGACGCGGCACAGCAGGTGAAGTGGCGGGAGAGACAGCGCTTCCTTGAAGACGCCTTCCAGCATGATGCGGACGTCCACCTGCCTGCCGCATGGCTGCAGATCGAGCACAGGCGACGTCAGTGCTGGCTGCCAAACTGCATGCCGTGACAGAACATGCCGCACTCCATCCAACGCATAGAAATTACATTCACTTCTGTATTTATAGAAAAGCAAAATATCATTTACATTGCATAAAACTACACTGCATATTATATAAGATATATAAAGTTATATAAGAATTCCCCCATGTTTAATGGTCCAGCCTTTGTTACACAATATAGTAGTAAAAGTATTTAGGCTAAACTAAGATGCAGTCTAATAATAAGATAATATAAATACAGAAACGCACAGAGGTTATGATACGGCGACTCGGAGGGTCGATGTGGGTGTCTGTGTGCCTCAAAGCAGCTCCTGCCGGCAGTATCTCCTCGATGGAGGTGAACATAGACATGTTGGAGCAGATGGACCTGATGGACGTCTCTGACCAGGAAGCCCTGGATGTCTTCCTCAACTCTGTGGGGGAAGAAGGGGTCCCTTCCCCTCCATCGTCAGGTATTTATTGTCAAGGTACAAATGTGCCCCCTGTCAGCTGTGTCTGGGGCCAATTCTGTCACTATGTTGACCAAATGTTAGGAACCTGCTCCATTGAAAGAAGTATATTTCATGAAGTATTAATGATGATCCACGGGGGAATGTTCTGCTGGATAATGATTGGTTGATATTTATTTATGCTGTTATGTTTATATGATTAATATCTCTACTGAGTCTTGATACTTACCTTTTGACTCAAGCCTAAGAAACAAGTTGTCTTGTTTTATCTGGCAGCTGAATTCATAATATGTTTCTTTGCTTTTCTCAGAGATGCCATTTAATACATTTCATGCCAAGTGAAACATGTCTAACAAGTGTCGGCCTGACGTAGAATCACACATGACCGTGAAGATAATGCTGAAATGTTTAAGTCATTCAAACACAGTCTCTTGCTGTTTCAGAAGAGGATGATGATGAGGAAGATGCCAGTGATGAGGTTTACAAGGACGAGATCTTACTGAAGGTCCCCCAGACTCGGCGCATTTCATCGACCTCCTCCGGCTCCTCTGACCCTTATAGCCTGGACACCAGCGAGGAAGGGGCGGAGACTCCCGTCGTCCAATCAGACGACGAGGAAGGGCAGGGGGACACCCTAACACAGGAAGCAGCTGCTCCAGTCAAGGATGCAGCAGAGAAGGACAAACCTTCCCCCCTGTCATAGCTGTGCAGTGACAGGCTTTGGGGAAGAAAGTGACTCATTCTTGCATGGGACTATCACAGGTCTACCCCTCCCCTGGGTGACCCCAACAGAACCCATAAAGACCCATTACTCTATATAAACACAGTCATGAGAAAAAGAAAGCATACCCTCCTCCAATTCTATGTTTTTATTTATTAGGGCCTTAATAATTGTGTAGTCCCAGTCAACTTCTATATTCAAACAAATACAACCTCGAGACGGAAATGAAAAAAACACACTCAAATATGTGGTCATTTTTTTTTTAAAAAGTACAGCAACATTTAGAAACCATGTGGGGAAAAATAAGGACACCTTCCTACTTCCACAACATTTAAGAGAATATTTTGTAGCCAAGTGTTACATATAAAAATGTATCAGAGTAGTTAATCATTAGGATAATTACTAGTTAGGTTAACTGGCATTTCCAAATTGCCTGTAGTCTGTTATTCTGAGAGGGTGTGTGAACTTTTTAACACACCGACTCGATGGATGTCTAGAATTATTGTGAGACTTGTTTTCTGACACACATTCACAACATACAAGGAAACTGATTTGTATGATAGTTTGTGTTCTTGATAACAAGATATAGGAGTAGCAACAACAAAAAGTACACTTTCTTCGTGATCTCATCTCTGAAAGCATGTAAAGTGTAACAGTTCCTTACCTAATCCATAGGGTAAAGTCAGGATCTCAGTCTTTAAAGATATATTATGTAGACATGTTGATAAATCTGTTATTCTCTATAGAGTTTTAAAAAAATAATAGTTCATTAAAGTCACGAGACAGTTATTACAGCAATGAGGATAAACAAAACATGAATAAGGAGCTACTGAATATATTCAGGTTTACATTACAATTTAAATGCTTTACAAACAGATAACATGCTTTAACACTTTATTGTTGCAGGCAGTAGCATATCGTATGTCTAGAAATCCCCCATGTCTTTGACTTTATCATTAAATAAGGTGCCACTCTTTCCTGGTTTATAATCCTGGCTGGATATCACTGAGCTATTCCGGCATGAAGGCTAATGTGCATTTCTACAGACAAGTGTCAAAACCAGAAAGAATTAGTCACTGGGGAAATGCCATCTCTCTTTCACCTGGTTACAAACAAATTAGTAGTTCATATCTGTCTTGTTAATTACAGTAGATGAGTAATAATAAAAAAAGTCTTCATGAACGTACACGACCAGTCAAAAGTTTTTGCACAAAACAAGTTTTTACCACTTTCCCATTTATTTCATAAACTGCAGTTTAATTATTGTTGGTAAACATTTGAAAGTTGAGTGAACAACTATAAATGAAAATATAAGTCAAATAAAACAAGTTTCCTTTATAACATAGAAAAAGCATGTAACAGTGCATGTCTGGCATCCTATTAACTGGTTGTGTGGTGATGGCATAGTGAAATTTTAGGCTGTCCTTTAACTTTAAATGCACTACTTAACTGTTTCATCCTGTGAGACAGAGCAGTATTTAATGTCCCTTATAACTGCTACAGGAGGTTAATTGATGAATCAAAGATATGCCATTTTCTTACTAATAAAGGTACTCAAATGGTGAACATACTGTATGTAATTGTTAGCAAAAAAATTATATTGAGTGTCTTTTTGGTAAATATGTGAAGTAGCATGCAAATGTAGAAAATCTGAGTGTGTGCAAAAATTTTTGACAGGTAGTGTATCTGCACAACAGTACTGTGTGTGTGTGTGTGTGTGTGTGTGTGTGAGTGGGTTTACCTATCCTTATGGGGACACAATGTCCCCATAATGTGATAAATATCCGGTTTTTTTCCCTTATGGGGACCGGTTTCATGGTCCCCATAAGGGAAAACTATTTTATAAAAATCGGTGACTGCTATGAAAAAACTAAAAATGCAAAAACTCTTATATTTTGTTTGGTTACTTATGGTTATGGTTAGGGCAGGGTGGGGGTTAAGGTTGTCATACTGTAGTTAGCGTTAGCATTTTTCCCATTGAAATGAATAAGTGGTCCCCATAAAGATATGTTTACCCTACATGTGTGTGTGTGTGTGTGTGTGTTGGCATTGTGGGGCATTGCTTCTGTGTTTGAACGACGAACAAAACTGGTTTTAATTCTGTCGACAAGTGTTATTGGACTCCTTTATAAATGACGTGTGTGTGTAGAGATACCAAGGAAAGAGGGGTTAGGAGCTTCAGAAGGGGAATTGTGGCACACCTGGGCCAGAACTTTGGGAATGTAATCCGTCCAGGGCTTCCAACGAGACAGAACTTGACTGATATGTTGATGGGGCATTGAGGGGTTCCGCAGTCACAGCGCCAGAGTATGAAGACATGCAGCTCCCATTGTGCAAAAACAACCAGAGTGACAGGAGTTTAAGCCTTTGCATATTGTCTTCAGCATGGCAATTCAACACTTCACAGAGACTACACCTCCTTGTAATCTGTATGTAATAAAATGCAATTGGTTCCTATTGTTGTTCTGATTCATCATTCATAGATTGCTGCCTTTATCAGCACCAACATAATACAGTACATAACACACCTCTATAATTCTCATTATCCTACATCATGTGGCCCATACTTGTGGTCTGTAGTTAAACCTGTTAAACATGGCCTTTCCTCCTTATTGTAAAATTAACACTTTTATAAGAACTATAATTAATTGGAATTGAAATTCCTACAGTAGCTTGGGGCAGCGGAATGACTGGTAATGTTTAGTGTTACGCAAGAAAAGCTTCGAGACTGGATGCTTGGGGCTTTGAGGACGCATACTGACCCGGGGACTGGCAACTGGTCTGTTGGTAATTAGCACAAATAAACAGGTGGAGGCATGTGTGAGACAATAAGGCAAGGTGCAACCCTGCAGGGCAGGTCCCTGCTCTCACATGGCAAAATAGCTTCAGTATGGGGAGCAGAAACTGCTTGAGAAATGGCCATTTAACAATGGCTTGTAATGATAGGATACGGAGAGATTATCAAGCTGAAGGAACAGAGAGAAGACTGAGGGAAATGACTGTGGTGGTGTGTTTCATGGTCTGAATCCATGCTGAATATCTGGGCCTAACTGATGACCTGGCCGAGGAGGAGTTCCAGCAAGAAATGCACTTCTGGGGAGCAATGTATCTGGTCCAGTGCAGATCATAGCTGCCCATCTATTGTCATGAAGTTACTAGAAATCATTGCACCAAATGAGGATTTTTTTTTGTCTGTTTACCTGGTTGTTTGGATAAATTTGGTTGTCTTGGGTTTTTTAAGTGTTTGTATCTGTGTCTGTCTATCTGTCTACATTTTTACTTATAGTAACACCTTCGTAAAATGGCCTTCCTGTCTTATTCGGTTATATGTCTCCATTCCCCTAGCCTTGCGCTTATACTCCCCCCACAGGAAACATAAATTCCATATAAGAAAATGTGACGTTATAATACAGACAGACAGCAGGGTTAAAAAGGCCCAGACTCCAAATAGAAAAATATTTGCTGATAGTGCCAAAATATACACAAAGTAATGTGGAAAAAAAACTGATTCCACATGTTGGCTGACATGGGGTGGGACTTTGTAGATGCAAATAGTTCCTGGACCTGCCCCTGACAGGCCCCAGCTTTGCTCTCTGAAGTTATGCGGCTATTATCTCAGGCTGTTTACTGAAGGCATGACACACGAAGCACTGGGGATCTAACGTGAAGGCGGGTGGACACGGCCTCTGGAGTTCATCTAGGTTCAAGTCACCACATCTCACACCGGTCGGTTCCGGTCAGGTCTTCACTGGTCGAGGACCCCTGACGAAGTCATCACCATGAAGAGCAGCTTCATTGTCCTGCTTCTCCTCACTGTGAGTTTCTGGTGCAAATGCGTGATTGAAATTTAAATCAGATGTATAACTTAAAAAATACACCTTATGTGTTCTTGACTGTTCTACTCAATAAACACTAAGGGTAGACATACAAGTATCGCAAATGCGTTAGCAGAGGACAGCAGATTTGTTTTTTTGATCACCAGTAAACAAAAAAGAAAAATAATCTGCAGTGAATTTATAGCAGAGTTTTCAAAGTCTGTTTCACAGGCCTCTGTGGACATTTCTGACTGTGAATGTGAATTTACGTTAAACACAAAAGTCTTAAGTTAAAAACAAAAAGTCTTAAATAAAAAACATAAAGTGCCCTAGCGTGACATGTTACACCTGGATCTGAAAGTTGAGACTGAAAGTAATCTGGAAAAAAAGAAAAGAAAAACACGCCCAAACATAATTTTACATTTCAAGCTAACATTCTTAAAAAATTCATGATCTGACGGGTTATGAAAATATTATACAACACTCTTAGTTCTGCTAAGAGTTAATATCTTTGTGTGTAAAAGCACTTCACAAACACATACACACACTGACATGTGCATACCTGTGGGAAATATTTTAGAACTGAACACAAATTTAACATAAAATGTGAATTAAATTATCTGCAAAGAAAATAGTCTCATCACTAATTAATCAAAAATGGTGCACACTGCTTGGTCACAAAAAATATTTAGGCCTACTGATATTCATTCTTCTAAATTGTAATGTACCATTAATCGCGGTCATTAACATACACCAGTATCGGTTGTTTGTTATTTTTTGTAACTAACATTACTCCCAGAGATTAACACGTACTGCTGTCTTTAACCAGTTTTTTCTTTGGAAACTTGAATTATTTAATTGCTTGGACGTTTTGGGATTTTGGTTTCGTTTGTTAAACTTGTTCATTAATATAATAGGATAGGAATTAAATATCTTAAATTTCACATCTAGCATAGCTGTATAATATCTCTTTCTCTGCTGTTGGAGGACAGGCAACGCAGACTGAAAAAAGATTATTTTTGTAGTACTTTAAAGTACTAAATAGGCTAACTATTCCTGCTTAAGAAAAAAATGCTATTTGTTTCATTTTGCATCATTTCTCAATATGTTGGAATGTTCTCTGATATATTTGTGGCTCTGTGGATTAGGATTAGCACCCGTGTTGGAACAGTCATGGGTTCGATCCTGTGGTCATCAGAGTGATTTCGCACGACAGGCATCGGGGAAAATCTATTGATAAGACAATGACCATAGAAACAAAATAAGCAAAGATCCATCTTCCATAACCACCAACCTGGACCCTCTGTCAAAATACATGACAGGGAGCATCCTAGTGGATGCCGGTCCATCAGAAGGCAGAATAGTCACAGTCACTCACTATGGGAAATGTAGAAACATTAATTCCCCTAAAATTAACGTGTTTCTAGACTGGGTGAGGAAATGGGCAGAGCATGTTGCCATGTTAAGTTACAGTACAGTGTCAAACACTGAGCCACCATACTGCCAAAATCTGATTTAATATTATATAACAATAATAATAATACAATGATTCTGAGTTGTCTCTAAAAGTCATTGAAACACCAGGTTTATGACTTGCTATGAAAATGAAACTGGTAATCAGGCAACAGGTAGTGAGGAAAATGCAGATTGCAACCTCCACACACTTTAAATATCTTCTGATATTTTGATGTATTCTTTTTTTGGCGTGCAGCACGCTGTATTTCCTGGGGGTCCACATGTCCACACCTCGCGTATTCTGAGGATATCCTGATACACCCAGCTGCTTTTAAACTAACAGCTGCAAAGTGTGCAATAGGGAGGCATTGTTTGAAACACGGGAAACATTTCTGCAATTAGTCCTTTGATGCAATGGTCCACATAGTTTGCATTTTACCGAGAGGTGTTTGCCCTTGGAGTGGTGCTGCAGCTCCGTGGGATGAGCTCTCGCTGCTTGCTGCCGGAACTGTGGGTCCTCCCTTCTCCCTTCTCCCTGCCCAGTGTTTTCTGTACACTTACTTGCGACAATTTGCTGATGAAAATGCATGATTATTAGCAGTAACTGCACAATGCATAAAAAAACAGACCTTAAGCAGGCATTCAATCCAATTTAAGACATTTTAAAAATATTCTTATTATTTTTATTACTGTCATTTATATTCTATGATCATTTATATCAGGGTTCTTCGAATCTGGACCTCGATTCCAAATCCAGGCCTTGTTTTCAGTTCTCCCAGGTAGTTAGTCTAATAATTATTGATTCTGATTGGTCAGAGGCTTCACACCTGACTGACAGGAAGGCTGGAAAACCAGCAGTGCTTGGACCTCGAGGACCGTGATTTGAATAACCCTGATTTATATCATGAGTAGTACGGCCTGAAAATGTGAGGATGTGACCAATGTTGGATGAATGATAAAAGGATACTGTTTTTATAGTTTGTTTAGTTCAACTGAAGCATTTTCATAGTGATCGAAATAATTCACAAAACATTTAAAAGTAGGTTGAGAACTGTTGCTTCAAACAGGAACATCACAAATGTTAACCCAGTGGAACATTGCGATTGTTTGGGACTGAGGGAAGTTGTTTTTTTACTTAGTACAGAGCAGTTCTTGCCTCTGTTGTAAGGGACATTTGGAAAGTGCAGTGGATATGAGATAGAGATTTAGGGTACTCAGGAATGCGAATAATGACAGGGTAGGTACACTTTCACCTCAGGGTATTCTTGTGAATAGAGACAACCTAATATCTTCATTAGGAACAATGGAATTTAGGAATTACGTAGATTTTTTTCAAGCCACATTGATTAACTTGTTTTCCTCCGACACTGAATTGACCCCATGCCATATGTTCCCAGTAATTTTGCCTTTTCTGTCCCATCAGGTAACTGTGATGCATTGCTTTGGACACATGTGGGAAAATATGGTTTGTACAATGCCAACTTTAAGCGATTCTGCCTACCGAGATCTCTATGTAAAGGTGTCGTAAACCTGGCTCCTACCTGCTTTCTCATATGAAAGGAAACGCTGAGGCGCTCCAAAAGAAGATGGGTTCTGTCAACAATCGAGCTGCAGGAAGAGGACAAAGGCCCGTTCCCAAAAGAGGCGACTAAAGTCAGTGTGATATCTCACCACTTTGCTTCCCATCAACTTCACTGTGGGTCTGCCAATTAACACCCCTTCGGCTTGTTTTTTATCTCCGCAGCTTTTTAATGATCAAGAAGTTAATTACAAACTGAAATACTTCATTAGTGGAGAAGGGGTGACAGAGCCTCCAATGGGCGTGTTTTCCATCGATGATCAAACTGGTGTGGTCTTTGTGAATAAACCCATCGATCGGGAGAAAAACCCAATGTTTCACGTGAGCATTCCAGACACTACAGCTACCCCGACCCCCATGGATTCTTCTATACATATTTATGTCATATGTATTCTATGATTTATATATTTGTAGTACATTTAAGAATATATTGAAAGGCTTATAAACTCTGATGGGAGATCATTAAAACAAATAAACTAATGAATATATATGTGTGTTTGTTCTGTTTGTTTTTATTTCATAGAATAACTGCCATTAAAATGACCTCTTTTATTTTATTTAATGTTTTATTTGGTTACCTTAATCCTTGTTAAGACTTACGATCTACCACATGAAAGTGATTCCTAACCTTTCTTTCTCTTGCTGGGAACAGGTTCGGTTTGACGTTCTCGACAGGGTAACTAACGCAATCGTGGACAGAACACTAGCGTTTGACGTGGCAATAAAAGACATTAACGATAATGCGCCTGCCTTCGACAGGTCCGTAATTAATGCTGATGTAAAAGAGACCGCGAAAGGGGGTGAGATGTCCCTTGCTTTTTACCTTGTTTCTGAGCCCCCCCACCTAATAGGTAAGGTTCTGGACTGTCTTGTTAATGTCCCTCACTTTCTCCACCAGGGCTTCTTCCAATCAATATACGAGCAATGGATGCCGATGAGGAGGACACAGACAACTCTAAGATCTCCATGCGGGTGGTTCTCCAGGAACCATCCTCCCCAAATATTGGCCTCAAACACCTGAATGGCACAGATCTGTGGCAACTGACACTTTCAGGCTGCTTCGACTACGATGTAAGTACTCGATGTGGTGACAAAATAGAGGTCTCTCCATCAAATTTTGCTAACATGAACCTATTGCAGTAAATGTGACGAAGGCTGAGGAGCTGGTCAACTGAAGCATTTCCATAGTGATTGAAATAACTCACAAAACATTTTAAGTAGTTTGAGAACTGTTGCTTCAAACATCACAAATGTTAACCCAGGCGAACATTACGATTGTTCTGAAATGTGGGAAGTCGTTTCTTACTTAAGTTCAGGGCAGTACCTCATCTGTCTTGTCATCACGGTTCATTGTTGTCACCCGGGCATCTATGTCAACTCAAAGAGATTAACAAGCTTAACTCAGTGAGATTAATAACTCTCAACTCCCACTGCCCTCCATTGTCAAAAAAAAATGCAGTTCAGGGGAATTAATAACTATAAACTATACTACATGGAAAAAGTATTGGGACACCTGGCCATTACACCTACAGGAACTTTTATGACATTGCATTCTAAATACATACTGTAGGCATCAATGTGTAGTTGGTCCCCCCTTTGCAGCTATAACAGCTGCCACTCTTCTGGGAAGGCTTTCCAATAGATTTTGGAGTGTGTCTGTGGGAATTTTTGTCCATTCATCTAGAAGAGCATTTGTGAGGTCAGGCACTGATGTTGGATGTGAAGGCCTGGCTCGCAATCTCTTTTCTCTAGTTCATCCCAAAGGTGTTCAATGGGGTTGAGGTCAGGGCTCTGTGCAGGCCAGTCAAGTTCTTCCACACCAAAGTCACCCAACCATGTCTTTATGGACCTTGATTTCCCAGTCTAGAATATGATCTCACTGTGATCTCATAGGTTATCTTATACCATGAGACTACTGCGATACCACTGCAGGATCAATTTGAAATCACACACTGACCACACGTCGATCTCATCATTTTATCTCGTACTGTGAAATCATCATGATACCCACGTGATATCATGCTCATTATCTATAGATGAAAGAGATGCATAAAATATTTTGACCAAATGTATAGGTTCATATCGTTCATTAAACATTCCACAAGTATGTTTCAACTTTAAACAACAAACAAACAAGCTTTATTTGTCATTTGCGAGCAAGTACAGGTACATTGGAGTGCTTCTGTTCACCAACAGCATCTTGCTCTTCATAGCTTGGGGGTCACAGCACAGGGTCTTACTGTAAGACATTTCAAAAGATTTTTACAGTAAATTACTGGCAACACTGCACCATAACTATTTTGTTTTTACAGTAGTAAAACTATAATAGTTTATCATAGAAACATAGGTGAACTGTATAATGCCGTAATTCAATTTTTATTATTCAGATTGTATCAACTGTATATATTTAGTTTTGTAAGTCATTCATTTAAATCATACTTATCTGAATTCATATAATTCAAAATAGCAAAAAATGACATTTAAAGTAACAACATGCATTAACTTACATGCACAGCATTCAGCTATTCACAGAACACACACAAAAAAATTGCACAGTGAATATAAAAAGTCCACACACCCCTGTTAAAATGCAAGTTATTTGTGATATTAAAAAATGAAACCGTGATAAATCATTTGAAAGCTTTTCACATGTTTAATGTGACCTATAACCTGTATGATTGGAAAAACAAACAAATCTGCCAAAGGGAAAATATACAAAGACATACAATAATCTGGTTGCATAAGTGTGCACACCCTTAAACTAATACTTTGTTGAAGCACATTTTGATTTAAATACAGCATTTTGGGTACACGCCTGCCATCAATTAGAGTGGCTCTGATTAACCCCAAATAAAGTTGTGCATGTCAAACATTGTACATTTTTATATCCCCCCCCCCCCAACAGATTTGTTTGTTTTTCAATTGAATTGTACAGGTTATAGGTCACATTAAAGGTGGGGAAGTTTTATTGTGGTCCCATTTTTTTACATCACTAAACCTGGCATTTTAACAGGGGTGTGTACACTTTCATATGTACTGTATTTGAAATAGAACAGTAGAAATTTGTTTGCGGAACAGAATTTTTTTAGACAACTTTGTGAAACAGCATGATGATATAAACTGCCAAAAAATACTACAAACAACTGCCAGTATAACACAATATAGTTCAGAGACTGTATTCATGTTCAGGAGGTGAACCAAAATAACCACCAGCAATACTCACCAATGTCTCAGCTAATCCAAGTTCCTCCATTCGACCTCAGTGCCTGGAGAAGGCAGGATGACATTCTGTTGTTAAATTACATATGCACTTGTGGTACGCTAACCAAGTTAACTAATGTTAACTCTTAAATTACAATAAATGAAACCTACCGCATACGAACACTACAAATAGAAAGGTGACCTCCCAACAATAGTATAATAGTTTAAAATGCCCGTTTTAATATGAATATTTTTACATTTAACCTAGTTAAATTAATGTTAACTTAGCTAATGCTAACGTAGGACTGACGTCAGCATACATCGTGAACCTCTATCAGAGAATATTACTAGCACTGCCTTGTAGTAAATTTGGTGAACTTTACCCCTTGACTGTAACAGTTTCATAAAGCCAACAATTGATTTAGCTTTGAGAAAATAAACTAATATCAACTGTCAAGTGAAATGTTAACCTGGTTTACATTTGAAAAACATACTGCTAACTACTGCTCACGCTAATGTTAAAGAGCGACTGTTTTGCACATCAGATCAGATAATCGTGTCTAAGGCTAATGCATTTATAATCGTGACGCATTTACTTTTGCTACTGGTTGGTTCTCACCCTGCCTTCAAGTCACGTAGGACTTGGGGGGGCGTATCATTACAACAATCATGGCAGAGGCAATGATCCACTGTAGTCGGATCTTCTGAGTAGGACTTGAGAGCAGCATAAGTCCCAGAGTAAAAATCCTCTTCATGAACACCACCTCCGTTGCTCGATTCCGGTTGCATCCACTGAATCAGGCAAAACCACTGAATTGTAGCTTTAGATTCATGCGTGTTGCTTCTGCTGAACTCCTTTCCTCACAACACCCGCTGATCTGGTTTTGGTTTCCAATCACTCGATGGTGATTTATGAAACTATTTATGAAAATAATTGCCGCCAAAAGTAAATACAGTAATTAACATCAATTTTTTAAATGCAATAATTCTCTGTATACAGTGTTTGGCGACAGCCAAAACTCCTGTGAAGCAGTGGAGACTACAGTTATTTACTGTACAATTAATTTGCAGTTTTGTACTGCACAGTATGTGGTAAATAACTGTAGAAATCACAGAAATGTCTAACAGTGCAGGTAACATGCAGCACCCCTGGAGCTGGGGGTTAAGGGCCTTGCTCAGGGGACCACAGACAACTATTCTGCCAAGACCAGGGCTCAAACCAGTGATCGTTTGATCACCAAGACACCAAGACTCTGATCATTTGATCACAGAGAGTTAGCCTGCTGAGCCACTCCCCACCTAAGCATATTAACCATGCAAATATTACAGGTTACAACAAATAATTATCTTCAGACATATGATCTACATTACCTTATGCTACATTTATCCCACAACATTAATTCAGGTGCTATCCTTGTGGGATGCACAAGACACAAACATAACTTTTTTTTGTTTGGTCCTGTGGGGAACCTCTTTTTTGATTATTATGGGTTAAAATACCGGAGGATATGGGGTAAGGGGGGGTCCGTACCCGTTTTTGCCTGTTGGCCCCCAAATCACAAGTATGGCACAATATCAGACAGGTGATATCATGATGTCATGTCACTGTGAGACCATTATGAGATTAAGATTGGATCTCATATACGTTAGATATTTATCTTGGTGATATCTAATATATATCATACCCTGACTGGGTTGTGTACTGGGGCACAGTCATGCTGGAACAGAAAAAGGCCTTCCCCAAACTGTTCCCTTCACTGGAACTAAGGGCCCAACCCCTGAAAAACAATACCATACCATTCTCCTTCCTCCACCAAACTTTACAGTTGGCACAATGCAGTCAAGCAGGTAACATTCTCTTGACATTTGCCAAACCCAGACTCGTCTATCAGACCGAAACTCAGAGAAGCCTGATTCATCAATCCACAGAACATGTTTCCACTGCTCCAGAGTCCAGTGACGGTGTGCTTTACGCCACTCCATCCGACGCTTGGCATTGCGCTTGTGATGTGAGGCTTGCATGCAGCTGCTCGGCCATGGAAGCCCATTCCATGAAGCTCCCGGTGCACAGTTATTGTGCCTGAGTTAGTGCCAGATGAAGTTTGGAAATCTGCAGTTATTGAATCAACAGAGCGTTGGTGACTTTGACGTACTATGCACCTCAGCACTTGGCAACCCTGCTCTGTTACATTATGAGGTCTGCTGCTTTTATGGCTGAGTTTATTTTTTCCTAAATGCTTCCATTTTGCAATAATTCCACTTACAGTTGTCTATGGAATATCTAGAAGGGAATAAATATCACAAACGGACTTATTGCAAAGGTGACATCCCATGACAGTACCACACTTGAATTCACTGAGCTCCACAGAACGACCCAATCTTTCAGAAATGTTTGTAAACATGACTGTATGGCTAGGGGCTTGATTTTATATACCTGTGGCATTGGGTCTGGAGGAAGCACCTGAATTCAATGAGTAATAAGTGAGTCCGTATAATTTTGTCCATACAGTGTACCATTGGCTGACTTTGTGCATGATATGCAGTACACTGGATGAGTTAAAAAAACAAATATATAGTAAGACCGAGTATAAAAGAACCAAAACAAACAGACATGCGTCATCATACCCAACACCAGCCAAAAGTTTTTTACATACCAAGTTGCCTTCAAAGGAGAGTGATAGTGCTGCATCACATGACCTGGCCACCTGACCTAAACACAGTCAAAATGGGTGCTGCTGGAAAAGCATCCCTGGGGGCCAAGTCATAAAAATAACATAAAGGTGACAGCGGGGTCAGCCAATCCCTGGCACAACTGGGGTTAAGAGCTGTGATCAAGGGCCCAATGGTGGGATCACTCTGTCGACCCAGGGATTTGAACCGGCAACCTTCTGAGTCCCAACCCACAGAGTTGCCCCCTCCCCCAAGATTTCTTTTTTGTTTTTTTTTTAATATACTTTTTGGTTAGTACATAATTCCATAAATATTATTTTTATGGTTTACGTCTTTATAATTATCCTGAAATGTAGAGAACAGTACAAATAAACCTTTCTATGGGTAGATGTGTCCAAACTTTTGAGTGGTACTATACACACAATGGGCAAAGTTAACATTATGGCTGTATGTCTACATCTTACAGAAAGAAAAGAAATACAAAGTCCTTATTGAAGCCAGAGATAACGGACGTCCCTCACTCTCCTCAACTGCAACTGTCAACATCAATATTTTGGATGGCAATACTCATCTGCCCGTGTTTACAAAGGCTCAGGTGAGCCAGAACTTGTCCTTGTGCCCATTCAGGTTAGAAAATGGGTGTGCGTGGACCATCACTGCACTGCTCAGAAACGATATGGGTTTGCTTCAGTGGGGTGCAATAAGTGTAAAATTTTTAAGTCTGTAATTTAAGTTTTAGAATATATATAAACATTCATAAACAAACAACCAGGTAAACATCAGTTAAGTGCCACATTCATGTTAAAATTACAATGAATGACAGTCTTGCAGTATGGTTTTTCAAAGACATTACACATAACTCGTTTTAGACTCTCTGTGTGTTTTCCAGTTATGCTTGAGGTAACAGAATTTCAGTACAAATACAGTGGTACCTCGGTTCCGGACTCCGGATCGAATCCTAAAAAGTTTGAGTTCTGATCGAATTTTTCCCATAAGAAATAATGGAAAACCAATTAATTGGTTCCCGGCCCCCCAAAATTACACCTAAATATGTTTTTGTTTTTTTTTAGCATTTAAACACAAAATGAACAGGATAAAACAAGAAGAGCATTTTTTTTCTTAATAGCTTCCAAAACGATAAAGATCTTATCCCAACATTACCCCTGTCCTGCCCCGATCGTTCGCTCCTTCCGTGTGCCACGCCCCCTTGTTAACCTCGTGTGGGATCCCCATGTGATCAGCTGTTTCTGATTGTTTTCATTAGTCCTCTGTATTAAGTCCGCGTTTCAGTTTGTTTCCCCAGTCCGGTCATTGGGTGCGTTCGACTGATCTGATCATGACGCAATGCATTACGGTTAGATGCATTGCGACCTCTCACCAGTGACCAGCCTGTACAAACTGGAACCGCCTCCGTGACGACACACCTTTGGCCTTATTGGCTGAAGAGTTCAGTTACACGCATGACGTTTGTATCCCAGGCATTTACAATGCGTAATCTGCTATTTCTCCCGAATATCACGTAAAGCAGTGAGAACTGGTTTTCAGTTAATTTACCTGGTAAAATAAAGTTTAAATAAATGACATAAATGCTCTAATAGTACACGTAAGTTAGTGGTTTATTTATTGTTAGTTACTGTAATGTTGCGCTGCTTTATTTGGTTAATCGTCCAGTCTGTGAAGAAGGCATTCAAGTTAGAATTGCATTGTAGTATGACTCATTTCCTGGCGCGTGCAATTTATATTAGGTCAGCGTTCACGGTTCGACTTCTGATATTCAGATCGAGTTCTAGGTCAAACTGGTTTGTTCGACTTTCAAGAAATTCCAGTTCTAGTGAGTTCGAGAACCGAGGTACCACTGTATTGCTTTCCTTCTTTATGTTTGGAACAGTCCTGGGTTCATGTAAGGCTCCAGAAAGTGGCATCAGGAGAGGGTTTGTTGTTCCTAGGGCCCCACCGAAATAGTCACTTCACCCCCCGCCCCAGTGTAGTGACTGTTTGTGGCCAGCAGGGGGTCCCCAAATCTTTGGGGCCCCACGCAAAAGCTTGGTTTGAGGGGAGGTAAACACTGCTGCTGCTGTGTCCAAAAAGCATGTGTCTCATTATCAAAAGCCACCACCATTACAGTGTGTCGATACAACTGTTTGCAGTATGAGGCTGAAACGATGGAGCTGGTCACCAATCAGGAAATTCTCAGAATAAAGGTGGAGGACAAGGATACGCCCAACACAACTGCATCACGGGCCAAATTCACAATCGTGAAAGGCAACGAGGAAGGCAACTACAAGATTGAAACGGACCCAAAGACTAATGAAGGTGTATTAACTGTCATCCAGGTTGGTATACTTTCAATAGGAAATTTACTCAATAATGCCTGACAGGTGCCATATTAAAACCTGATTAACTACAAGTTATTTAAGAGAAGACAAACTTAATATTGCCTCAATAAATAGCTGAAGATGTTTCTTCATCATTACAGGGAAATAAACTAAAAAATTATATGCATGTGTCTACTTTATTAAATGTAAAAACCTGCTCGGTTTATGGGAAACTCAGCTGACCGTTTTACCATAATAAGGAAATACGGTGTTGTGTTTTTAGGATGTATGCGTTCTTAGGATGACGACAGTGTTGTGCTTCTCCTTAGGCGAACGACTATGAGAAGACGACGCTGGCAAACCTGCAGATAGCCGTAGAGAACGAGGAGCCGCTCTTCGTGTGCGACTCCGACTCGCAGAAGACCCAACCAAAGCCGCAGACCGTCAATGTGGCTGTTGCCATTAAAGACGCCAATGACCCACCGCAGTTCAAGAAGGTCAGAAACGAAGTGTTTCAGACAGAGGAATCGCCGCCTGGAGCCCTACTGTACACGCCAGAGGTGACCGACGAGGATTCAGATGTTTCAAAACTAAGGTGCGTATTATGACTTGAAGTGCTGCTGTTTCACTCAATATTTTAACCGCAGTACATTTTTAATAATGCATTATTACAGTGACTTGAGTCACTTACATTATTTACATTTGAAGCAAAATACAGGTAACTTGACTCATAATATCTGACTACATCTGTTTTTTTTCCCCCTGGCGAAAAAGGTATGAAAAAGTAACGGATCCAGAAAACTATGTATCAATTGACTCAAAGACAGGTGTTGTAACGACTGTAAAAAAGATGGATCGGGAGTCTCCGCATGTGGCCAATAATACTTACGCCATTGTGATGCGTGCGATTGATGACGGTAAGGAGCCTTGGTGTTCAAAATATTAACGCACAGTGTCCGAGGGAAAAATGACTGACAAAAGGTGTATCGTTAAACTGTAAGATATGTTTTCTCTTAAATTGTGTACTGAATGAAATAGGAAAAGTTTGAAGTATATTTAAAAATGTTCTTAAAAAAAATCACACTCTTAACAAAGGCTCGTTAAGGGCCCTTGCCTGTCATTCAAATAGGATTTGCAAGTCTTTCAGTCAATATGCAGCCAGTCTCCCTAATGCCCTGCCGCTGCGTTTCAGGTCAGCCTCCCAGCACCGGCACGGCCACCGTGCTGATCCACCTCACCGACATCAATGACAACGTGCCATACTTGGTTAACAAGACTCTGGTGCTGTGTGGGAACAAGGACAGCAAGGTGGAAATTTTAGCAGACGACAAGGACAACCACCCGTTCAGTGGCCCTTTCGTGTTCTCCCTGCGCGGGAATGATCCCAATGTGAAGAGTCGCTGGAAATTAGACCCTGACATAGGTAAGTGACTTGGGGGTGAAAATACAGAACTCGTACTACAGAGTGTCTTCAATTTACATAAAAATGCCGCCTTCTGATGTGCGCACATTTACATTTTTTTTTTTTCCTGCCAGTTGAAAAATATATCACAGAAAAATGGCCTATCTGTGTGACTCCTCTCATTTCGACGTGCAGAGTGTAATTTAAAGAAAAATATACTTATGTATATGTACTGTTGTTTTAATACTACATATTTTAAGCTAGCACTAAACACCAACTTAGTGTGGGTATGTGGATCCCCCTCCCGCAGGTAATAGTGCCACTCTGGTGAGCCTGAAGAGCCTGGCGTATGGAAACTACTCGGTCCCCCTCAGGGTCCTCGACCAGCAGGGCAAAGGGGCCGACGAAGACCTCAGTCTGGTGGTTTGCAACTGCGGGAAGGAGAAAACGTGTCGGAAGCGCATGTCGCCATCCTCCTCGCTGGGTGGAAAGGGGGCGCTCACGCTCATCTGTGGCATCCTGCTGCTGCTATGTAAGCCAAACACTTGCCCACCCCCAGAACACACGCCATGCCGCCTCACAATCACGTGTTGGTGCTGTCTTGTTTATGTTTCTTTATGTTTTTACGGTTAGATGTTCTTTATGTTTTTAGTTAGACTAAAATGTGTGATGATATCAAAGACTGGAATCAGGTACCATGCAGGCATTAATATAGGCTACTACAGCCCATTCCAAAGCCCAATATATTTAATTTCCCCAGTCTGCCTCATTTACGTCAGTTGTGCAGATTGGTTCCGTCAGGCGCTGTAGTAAACCTGAGGCACATAGTTTTGAACTACTAATTATCAAGATGTCAACTACATGGAAATTCTCTCAGCTGGAAACTCAAAAGTGGCGCAACAGCTACCTGCAATGGTTGCAATGCCATCCTTTCAAGATGAGGTACTGACAGCGTCATTTAATGCAACAAATATAATTAGGTGCTTGCAGAAACATCATAAGGAAGAATACTGAGAAACTGCGAGGTTTAGTCAAGCGAGGAATGCACTGACACCTACTGCAAAAGATCAGATTGGAATCAGAAGATATAGATATTTAATGGTCGGATCGGGACATCCCCACAAAACATAGGGACACCTGCCCATTTTTCAAATCCATTTTTTTAAAATTCAGACTAAACTGGAACATCCCTTTTGAAAACAAGGGAAATCCCATGTTGCCTCAGCAACAGTGTAACTCGTGTGACTCGCTTTCAGTGCCGGTGTGTCTGCTGTTCTTTTGCATGCCGAGGGAATCACACAAGCCTGTGACCATGCATGAGGAGGGGAATCAGACGCTGATCAAATACAATGAGGAATGCGGAGGCACGCGGTGTAAGGTAAGGTGGATCTCACTGCACTCTGCTGGATTCCTGTGTCGGGCGAACCCAGAAATAAGCAGATCTTATCACAGGAGCAGAAGCGCTTTTGTAGGTTCGATCATATCATGTTGCAAAACTTGAGATATTATCATAATTACCCCTTTCCCCCAGAATGAGCCACAAATGATGACTCCCTCCAGCCCTGGAGCAGTCACAGATGGACTGAAGTACCAGAGTATGCCGGTAGGGTGGGAGCAAGCTTTCGTCTGTTGTTTAAATGCCAAGCACGCCATAAACACACCAGCGACATCAGCGTGCCAACGAATGGCATCCCTGCTAAGTCGTCTTGGTGTTACTCCAGGAGCCCTAGGCAGCTTGCCACGCTCACGCTGATCCCTCTCCCCATTCAGACCTCCTTTGCCCCAGCCTGCCGTCTCACCTAAGTGCCGACGGGGATTTCTCCCCCCTGCCCAGAGGGCCTTCTCTGGCACGGGGATCTTCAGACCCCACACTCTGCCCTTCTAAGCATCTGCTAATCTGCAGCAATTACCCGACTCTGGCAAGGCACAGGACACACACAGTTAGTTATTCTGGGCACCAAACTGCCTCCTTCTGAATGAAAACCGGCTTAAATCTGCCTACAGTATTACCAGTTTATTAAATCCATTTGCTCAGTTACAAAAAGACTGCCAAGGGTGTGTTCTGTAATAGCTTCAAATATCAAGTCATGCCAAAGAGCTGGTGAGTGGCATTATGTCATAAATTATTTCCAGTTGCAGCTGGCATATTTCCATATTCGAAAGCTACTGCATAACCAAACATACCAGTGATTATCTGATTCCTTCATGTTCTCCCACGCACCCTGTTCCTACAAATAAGTCTGGCACAGCAGATTAGATTGGCACCAACGGGTTTATTTTTAAATCTTTATGACCGATGCCAGGCTAATTAAAGTTCTAATCTCCAGGTTTCGGCAAAAGTGCATGGAGTGAGTGTAAACTGTTTTTCGTATGTGGTAAAACATTTTGGAAAAATATGAAAATAAATGCACCAGTCTCGTTCTTGCCTTGCAGACAGGCCTAGCAGGTTTCTCTTCTCTTTTATTAGCTCCGGCAGTTGTCTCAGACATCTGGTTTCAGAAACCCTGAGAGTAGCATGACCCTGCAAAGCCAGCCAAGAGGAATGGTGAGTGACAGAATCATATCTGACCCTTACAGCTTATTGAGGAACCAATGATCAGAGCAGGCGTATTACTTTGACCTCCAGCCTTCTGGCGTAACGTTATCTACTGACACAGGCTTTGTGCTCCAACAGTGCCCTTTTCTCGATAAACTACACCTCCGTTGTTTACGATTGCACTTAGCACGTTATATTCATTGCTGCAGCCTCCGGTGCCCTGCTCCCTGCTCCGTGATGACATTGTGATTTGTCTGCAGGGTTTTTACAGCGACGACGTTCCCATGAGGGGGCAGTATACTAACGGTGTAAACACCATCAGAGTAAGTGCCGTGTTGCTGGTAATGGAGAGGAGTGATTGAAAAGACAGATTTTTAAAACACACCATAACATGGCAAAGAAGTCATTTAACACTGACGGCATTTGTTAAAACAGCAGCGATTACTATGTGAATTGTAACATGGTATCTAGAATGTTCCCCTGGGACTGAGAATCAATATTATGAATCTTAATATTAATCTTATACTATAATACATACTATTATAATACAGTAGCCCCCTCCTTATCTGCGGGATAGCTGAAAGCACAGATAACAGCAAACCATTGGCGGACCCCCATATGTAACATGATTTTTGTGTTTTTATGTATGGTAATTGATAAATCGGGGGATGATAGAGCAAGAATATCATGCTTTTTATACCCTTCAAAGGACAAAGGAACAATAAAAAGAAAAACATTCTGTTACACATTTTATAATTGTTTTGGACCGGGTTAAACTGTGGGTAACTGATACCACGGACAAAGGGGGACTACTGTATTATACATAATGAAGACATTAATCAGTGAGTTTTTACACACATAGGCTACATGCAGTCATACATATAATGCTAATGCTATGATTAAGTCTCACAAAATCCATTCTTCATTCTCATTCACATCATAATCATGATTAACAGCAAATTTACATTTGTTTGCTTGGATGCTAATCCGTTCTGTGTAACATATTGTTAATTTCCAGAATGGAACTTTGAGATGCTCAAGATCCCAAAGCATGTTTGGAGACTTTTACATGTATAAGTTCATCCAGAAGGTAGGAAGAATATCTGCATAAGTTGAACTGTATGCTTACTGTACAAAGTAGGCCTTGTATTTCTGTAGAATACATGGAAATAATTGTGGATGAAAACTTAATTCTAAAAATACGATAAACGCAGCGTATTCCTGTTTTGGATGTGGGTAACCATACCATCAATGCTTCAATCTAGTAAATCACATAAATACTACATCATACTGAAGATCATTTTGAACCCCCATCGCCCAAAAATTTATGTTACGATTGTGAACATGTGCATGTACTTGAATAATAGGCTACATGTACAGACAGATAAATGCCAGGGGATATTTTTCTATATATGTACTCATGGATAAAAATTGACTGGGAAATTGACTTTTTTTACTTAAGTTACAGTATAATGAAGTGGTGTAACACAAAGATTTCCGGTCTAACTGGAAAAACAGTATCATTAAGTTCTGTGCTGTTTATAACATACGGCTGACTAGTTGTAATGTCTTAAAAATTACCTGGAAGACGCCGTCAAGACGTGTCCTCAGCTTTTTTCAACAAGCAGACATCACACAATTGTCCTTGTAATATTTTTCCTTCACGTCATGAACACTCCTTAAATAACCAGGCCCAGAGTATACAGTATGAGGGCGAGGCAGACATCAGAAGTATAACATACTTGTGCATATGTTCAGCCTCATTGATTTTCTTGATCTGGTTGTTCAGAGGTTGCTTGACGTGGAGCAGAACTCGCAGGACTCTTCGGAATACCATCCCCACGGATACGCCTACGAGGGGGAAGGCAACAGCGTCCATTCGCTGGACAAACTGTCGTTTGATAACCACAGCGACAGTCTGAACTTCCTTCAGGACCTGGGGCCCAAGTTTAACAACCTGGGAGGAATATGTCACCGTGACATGGAGAAGAAAAACTAGGACAGCTTCACCATTTACCAGGCAAACTGGAAGCTTTAGGCCATTTCCTTCCACCTGTTCATACATTTTCTGTATAAAATACGTTTTGATGGATATTTCATACTGCAGGCTAATAAATGACATTGGTATATCTTTATGTTGCAACCCATGGAGAACAACAGCACCTTAGGGTCTTTGAATGGAAAGCACAAACATTTCCACAATTATGGAGAAATTCTATAAGAAGGTGGAAGATGTTGTTGACCTAGGGAGAGGCATAACCATCCATTTTGGCTGTACCTTAACACCACTAATGTAACACTAATTTCCCTCAGACCCTAATGCTTGACCCTGCACCTTGGCCTTGTCCTAGTGTTACCATCTCTGCAAGCTGCACATTCTGTTCTCTTATTTGTCTCCTGTTGTGCCCTCACCAAAATGGCCGTATTCTTCCCCTCCTCTTTTGTTAGGTGGGCTTCCACTAACACCCCTGTGTCACTTAGTGCAGTTCGCCATCCCACCCAAAGCACATTCAACACCCAAAAAAAACATAGTTGATTTTTCTTTTTACATGAGAAAGTTTCAAAGCAGGTGCAACGTATCAGTTTTGAACTTCATATATTCTTACTGCAAATATTACTGGTAAAACTGTTTAAGATGGCATATGGATGAATGTAATATTCAGTGTTTTAATGCAAGCTACTTACATAATTCACAATTGAATACTATTTAAAATAAAGGTTTTATATTGCTGAAATTACTTGTGTTTACTTGTGAAATTTCTTGTGTTTATTTTTTGCAACACCAGAACACCTGTTGTGACTAGACGGCTTAAAGGTCCATCCTTATTCACTATGGCGTGTTATTGCATCGTCATCCTGCTTACACCATATATACTGCTTATTGTTCCAGTTCATCCGATAAATTGGTCTTGGTTGAATTCTTGATTGCCTGAATGACATCATTCGAACAACGTCATGCCGCAAATATTAGGAAGGAAAGTGATTTTATGGATAATTTCACCCTGCCAAAGTTTTGAAGCAAACTATAAATATCTAAGAATACAGGAAAGCAATTTTGCTGTGATGAACATTCATGTAAGCAATAATGTAAATGTTTTTGACAGGGGTAAGAACTACAGAATACATATTTTTAATACTGACCAAGATAAGTGCAAGGAGAATGATCAGCAGTATTAAAAGTCTTTTTTTGTTGTTGTTTTTATTTATTTTTAAATGCCCTTAAATGATAAGCTTTTCCTAAAGTAGACCTTGGTGTTAAAATAAAAGTGAAATCCAGATTTGTTGGGGAGAAAAATGGACCATGCCTACATTTAAGCAAGCATATACGTTTATTAATCAAGCGCCTTTCACAGACAGTCCTAAGGTGTTATACAGACTAAAATGCAGCGAACATAGAAACATAAAGCACAAAACCTAACAACAATTTAAAAATACACAAGTGCAAGTAGAAAACAAATCACGACAAAACACAATTTCACAAGGTCATGTTTTCTTGAAAGCCTGAGAAAAAGTTTGAAGTTTTAAGCTGCCTCTTAAAACCTTCAACGGAGTCTGCAAAACGCAATGATGCAGGAAGATCATTCCACAGCCTCGGGCAACAACTTGAAATGCCCAGTCACAGTTTTGAATCTTTTTTAATGATTTACTACAAAATCATTGCAAAAACAAGACACCACTAAATGTTTGGGCAGGGAGAAGTGGAGATATTGCTGTTGCCATTGAATTTTCAGTTCCACAATGAACTCAGAAGTTAGAAGGAATGAAGGAAGATGCAGAATGCACAGGTGTCACACATGGAGGAGATGAGAGCATGACAATAACCGCCCAAGCTAATTACAGAAAAAGAGAGCAGGCTGGTTTGTGGTTCTGCAGATTAGGACTTTACCTGTGAAAGGTCACTGTTTCAAATCCTATGGCTGGCAGAGTAAAGTTATCCTTGGGCCCTTGATTGAGGTCCTTAATGCCAATTGTTCCAGGTGCAGTGGCTGACCCTGCCCTCTGATTCATGTCTGTATGTTGCTTTAGATGAAAGCATCAGATAAATAAATGTAATGTAAACATGAATGTGGCTGTCTGGGTGTAATCCTGATGTATACCACTGGGTGGCACCTGACTCTCTACAGCAATAACAGCAAAAACGCTTTGAAACTTAGTAGCAGCTAATGTAATTTGAATTTATAATTGGCTGTAGCAAAACCCGGCTAATTGCAACGCTCTCCTGTTGTGCTCAGAAATTAAGGAGCTGTTGAAGGTCTGCTAATGGAGGGAATGGGAAACCGTTTTCAATAGCATCGCGTCGGTCCTAGCTGTACTTCATATATCATTCGCTGCAAGAACTATAAGATAAGCAGATGTTTTTAACAATCCCAATCCTGGGAGGTTTTCCAGAAAGTGGGTTTAGCAAGTAATCCCAAACAGGCTCCTCTATGAGAAGGGGTGTGGCCTTATTTGTGGCCAGAGCTGAGGCCAACATACAGCGAGTAATGGAATCCTAATATGCTGCTAAAATGAAGAATAATAACTAAACAATCACTGACAGTCTACAGTGTGACCTTTCTGGACTTTCTGTTCTAGCTATTGCCAAATCCTGGGGATTCATGGCAAGAACCACTTCAATACTATTTAATACTATTTATATACTCCCACCTAGTATATATGTATGTGCACTGAAACACTCAGCGTTTATTGGCCCGTATTGCTCGTGATTTTTACTTTGTATGTTTGTGTAGCTTAATATGCAGAGCTATGCTGGTGTGTGTTGAATCTGTTTCAGGGACGCACCTAATTTCGTTGTACATTCGTGCAATGAAAATAAAAGGCATTCTATTGTAAATGGTAGTATGACCACACAAGTTATGCCAGCCTAGGCTATACGGTCACATGACCAAGGCAAGATTTAGATTACGTGTATTTCCAGTGTACATTTAGCAGGGGTGTAATGGTAAACTAAACTCACAGTTTAGTATAAACCTCGGTTTTGCGTTCATTGTTTGGTGCAATTTCGGTACAGTAGGAAAAACAGAATTTCTTTTTGAAATTATTTGTTATTAAAACCACAAACACAACTGGGGACAATTGCAATACAAAGGCAATGCATCTGTCGACGTATCTAAGAAAACCAAAGAGACACTTATTTGCACATTGCAAAAACAATTATGTGAATTATGTGAAATGTGAATTTTTTTTTTTTTAAGTATATACTGTATATTTATCACATCATAACAAACTGTGATAACAAGATTAAAACCCCATATAGCCTATACTTATTTTTCGACACATGCTGAATTTCCTGGCAAAAGTGATTTAAAATTCTTGAGGAGAGTAACTTTTCAGCCACCGACTCACAGAGCTGCGCTGCTCCAGCGAACGCTATCTAAGGTCTTTTCTCTCAGCGGATATTATGAACAACAATTAGTATCCCACCTGACCCCCTGTCTCCCGCTTAGTCGCCAGTACACTCGAATAGTATGATATTTAAATTATCCTGCACATTGCAATATAGTTTTATTGTACTGTATCTTTTGTACAATATTGTGCCCTGTGTCTATTGCATATGTACAGTGATTGTCACTTTTTGTGTGCTGCTGTAACTTTTTGGAATTTCCTTCAGTACTGCACTACTACTCCTACTACTAACTTGCAGGCATTGTTTTTGGCCACACGGGTCAATTATATTTCAAGTAAAACTTAAGTAATCTACTTGTTTGTTGAATAGTTGAGCATTTTGTGGCTGCAATATTGTCTTTTTCTTTCAAATAAATTTAAAATCTGCATACACAGTTGTTAATATTTCCATCTCCAAACTCATAAAGCATTGCGATTGCTTGCTTTTTTGCATCCATCTCCATGCCAAATCCTTTTTCCAGCAATCTGCTGATGGTGGCTGATCGTAACATGGCTTTTTGTTGTTCTTCAAGAACAGGAGTCAGTTAGACTTAACATATGGCACTTTTCCACTGGCTTACAAGAACCAGGTTGTTCCTGACCTGTACTGATAATTGGCACTAGTTACAGTGCAGTTCCAGCTCATACTGTAGTTATAGTGCAGTTCCAGCTCACTTAGATTTTTCACTGCAGAAGGGTCGGCTCGGCAAAGGCGTTGCCAGGTTTGGAGAGCAGCACTGACTTTTAACTCCAGAGACGCTTATTTACTGTTCACACTGAGTACAACATGATTTACTATGTGTTAATTTCCACTAGCACGTCTGTGAAAACTGGTGTGTTACGTGAGCATCAAACACTAGTGCAATTGGCGTTAGTTTGCGTAAATTTGCATTGCAAATTCATTCTGTTCAGCTGTTTCATAGTACTTTTACAAGAAGGAGATTGTTGTCAAGATCCAAGTTCTTAGGAATGCATCAATATATCATGACTTGTGATACTACTAATAATGAGTAATATATAGAATAGCCTCTTTTTTCCTTCAGATAATCTATGCATATCAACACAGATCATATCAGGTGGTGACGCAACCTGTCACGCCTGCTCCGTCCGCTCCCGATGTGTGCCACGCCCACCTCGTTACCTCGTGTTCAGCCCTGAGTGTGATCACCTGTGTCCTGTTAGGTCTAGCTTGTCTTTTGTATTTAGTCCTCGTCTGAGTCAGTCTTCCCCAGATCTGTCATTGTATTGTCCGTGGATGTCCGTGCCTGTTCGTCGTGTGCCCAATAAAACCCCTTTACCGGACTTCCTGGCTGCTCTCGCCTGCTTCCCTGCTTACCTGCCTGCCGAAGCGTGACAGAATGACAGATCTCCGTGAAAACACAGTGCGGCAGACCGAGCACCAGCGGCTCGGTCTGCTGCAGGAGGCTGTGTATTGGCGCTCCCAGCCAGAGGTACTGGAAGATCCCCTCGCCCTGGAACTGGCCACCCGGGGCGCGGACCTCTTGACAAAGGAGCGCCCGCCCGGACAGCAGTATCCACTGGCAAGAGTCCGGAAATGCCTCCGTCGCCTACATCGCCAGCTCACCGAACGACGGGAGGAGCGCGTCGCTCGGAGCCTGGGTGAGGCGGCGGAATCGGCCCCGCCTTCCGCCGCGGTCGATCAGGGAAGGAAGCAGGGGAGAAAGCTAGAGCAGCGGGAAGAAACTCCATCGCTCTTCCTGGGAGCCTGCTCACTCCTCCCTGCCTGGGACGATGCCACTGCTGCCCGCCTGGCCGGCTTCTACCCGGAGAAGCCGCCTCCGTTAGAGGCGTATCCATACCGGCCGGAGCGCCTGCACGGAAAAGGGATCAGCGCCGTAAGAGACGCTATACCCCGGGTGTCTAAGGCCCTTAAAGGGGCAGCGCCTGCACTCCCGGCGCCAACCCTGGCGCCTGTTATGGACCTGCCTGCTCTGGACGTGCCTGCAGCACCAGCTGCTACTGCCGCCGCTCTGCCCACGGCACCGCCCGCAGCCGCTGCCACCTCTCTGCCCGCGGCAATCCCTGCTGCAGCTGCCGTCGCCGCTACGCCCGGGGTACCTGCTGAGGTGCACCCTGTTGGCCACGTGATGGCGGCGTCCGCCGAGGCGCCCCCTGCTGGCCACGTGATGGCGGCGCTTGCTGAGGCGCCCCCTGCTGGCCACGTGATGGCGGCGCCCGCTGAGGTGCCCCCTGCTGGCCGCACGCCTGAGATGCCTGCAGAGGTGTCCCCTGTTGGCCACATGTCCTCTCTGCCCGCGGCCCTGCCTGAGGCCGCCGTTCCTGCTCTGCCCGCGGCCCTGCCTGAGGCCGCCGTTCCTGCTCTGCCCGC